CAAGGTACCACAAATGGGGTGGCCTGAACAACAGAAATGTGCTCTTTCACAGTTTTGGAATCTAAGAGTTTGAAGTCAAGGTGTAGGCAGAACTGGTTCCTCCTGAGGGTGGTGAGGGAAGCACCTGCTCCCAGCCCCTCTTGGCTTTGGCGATGGCTTTTTTCTCCCTGCCTCTCTTCACATTATCTTTCTTCTGTGTGTGTCTGCCTCTGAGTTCAAATGTCCCCCTTTAAAAAGCCACATAGAACTAGCGTCCACCCTAATGACCTCATCTTCACTACTTACACCCTTTTTCCAAAAGAGGTCACATTCTGAGATTCTGGGTGTTAAGACTTCAATGCAGAAATGTTGGGAAGGATAATTCAAGCCATGACAGTAGCCAAGGAAAAGGTGGAATAACGTCTTAAGGATTGAGCAGCAATGTTTTTGTTTTTGATTTTGTGAGACTAAAATGTAATTGAGGGATGGTGAGAAGGGGTGACTGAAAAATGAAGAGAGATTCAAACTGATGAGATGGGAAAGGTGGGACCTAGAATGGCAGGTGGAGGCTTAGATTTGAAAATGAGAGGAATGGGAGAAAAGGTGGAAAAGAGACACCAAAGGCAGGGAAGAAAAGAGTCAAGCAATTTCACCTTTCATGGCCACGTGACTCTGAGGTTAAGTAAAGCCTGGCTGGGAGTTTTAAAAGAGGATAAAAGTTTTGGACTGGTTATTATGGGGAATGGAGCAGGGAATTAACAGATGAAAAATAAAGAATTCATAAGGCTAACTGATAATAGATCATTTCCTTTTAAAATAGATCTAATCAGAAAAATTATGCAAGTGCTTCATCTTTTTTCTGAAGTAGAAACAGAGAAAATGGGTGATTGAGTTACTCACAAGTAGCCCTGGTGGCCCATGTGGAAGAGTATGAGGAAGGAAGTCAGGAAAAGGCGAAAAGAAAGGGGGTGCGGGGAGAGCAGGGTCAGTGATGTTTTGGAACCAAAGAGGCCACAGGACTGGAAAGCTGAAGTAAAGGCCTTTGGAGTGATGAACATCAAGGAAATCTATGGGCACAAGTATTGGAAGTCTCTAAGAGAATGCTGAAGTAGCACAGAAAGGTTGCAGGGATTTAAGGCGTGAGTGTTTTAAGCCCTAAGAAAATGCCTTCTCTGATGTCCACTTCAAATAGACTCACTTTCACTATTATGATTATGACAGCAGTATTACCTTGAGTTGTAATAATAGTAACTATACAAATCCATGTTTTGTGGAAATTTTATTTAAGGGCTGATAAATGACAAAGAGGCTGAGGAAGAGAGGAGGAGAGTAGATGGTAGGGAGGGGGAGGGAGGAGGAGTGAGGAGGAGGGAGAGGGGAGGTGGAATAAAATGTATAAAGACTTATTGTAAAAGTCGTAAGTAAAAAAGAGAGAGTGGAAGCTTTCTCTAAGTGGTTAAACAACGAGCTGGTGAAGATTCTAAAAACAAAATGACAGCAGGTAGTTTTAAACCTAGTGATCATGTTCTTCATTTGCTTCCTTAACTCATCCCTTTCTTAGATGGGCATAAACATTTCTGAGGGACTTTCTAAATCAGATTTCCCCTGGAAATGAAAGCATATGGTTCACTAAGCTTTAAATTAACCCACATGTTAAGGCTACAGTAAGTTTACCACTGTGAAAATCCCATCACATTGTAGATTTTCCCAATGCTTGCAGACAAAGGCAGTACTATTTATACTTATTTCGCCTGTTAGTAATGAAATTGTTTCTAATTTATGTTCTGTGAAAAGTGACATCTGCTTTTAATTGGAAAGCTCATTAAAAAATCAGACAAGTAAAACAAATTATTCACTAAAATGAAGACAGAGGAATTGAAATGCACTAATGCAGGTGTCTTTACTGTTTGGAGACTCACTTAATTTCTTCCTTGAGACATTTCAGATCCAGACCCCACTTTATTTTTTAAATAACATAAAACATTATAAAAGAAACAAACTCTGCTTCATTTTATGCATTTTCCTTATAATCATCAGAGATGATATAAGCTGATTTACTGAAGCAATATGTTTTATAGTAGTTTTACCATTTTCTCATGTACCTTCAGTGAAAGAATTTGGGGATGTAATGAAAGTTCAAATAGCAGAATAGCCAGCTTCTTAGGGCGCCTGGGTGGCTCAGTTGGTTAAGCGACTGCCTTCGGCTCAGGTCATGATCCTGGAGTCCCGGGATCGAGTCCTGCATCGGGCTCCCTGCTCGGCAGGGAGTCTGCTTCTCCCTCTGACCCTCCTCCCTCTCATGCTCTCTGTCTCTCATTCTGTCTCAAATAAATAAATAAAATCTTAAAAAAAAAAAAAAAGTTTAAAAATAAATAAATAAATAAATAAATAAAAAGAATAGCCAGCTTCTTTATATAGGTTAATATGTGCCAAAATGAGAAGAAAAGTGATGTATGATATATTTACATAGTTTAATAACATGCAATCATTAAAAAGCATATTTAAAATATGCATTTAAATGGGGAAATGCTTATGATATAATGCTAATTGGAAAACTCACACTGCAAAACAATACATACACAATTTTGTATATAAAAACACACACATATAGTATATTATACACACATACACAGTTCAGGGATACTCAATTTTATGTAGGTTTTATTATTTCCTTCCCATTTCCATATACACCCACACAGTATGAGTGATTTTAATTTTCTTTAGTTTTATGTATTTTCTCATTTTTCCAAAATGAAAATGTACTATGTAATCAGAAAAATAAAACAATAAACATTTTTTATTTAAAAAAATTTTTAAATTTTATATTTTTGAGAGAGAGAGCACGCATGTGTGAGAGTGCAAGCAGGGAGAGGGGGCAGAGGCAGACTCTGTGCCAGGGTGACCAAGGCAGGGCTCTATTTGGTGGGGAAGAGGGGGCACAGCACTCGGGAACAATCCTGCCACCCTGAGATCATGACCTGAGCTGAAACCAAGAGTCCAAAGCTCAACTGACTGAGCCACCCAGGTGTGTCCCTAAACATATTTTTAAAGAGCCAATTCCTCATAGTGGTTCTATTGATGAGAATTATGTATTTAGAATAGTCAAATAAGCTTGCAAGAGATTCTGCTTTACTTCCTTATCTTATAAATATTTTGTAAATCTAAACTTGACTTTTCCTCTAAATAAAATTTATGTGGGATCTAAGCAGTGGTATTTTTTAAGAATCCCCAAATAATATTATTTAAAGGAACTAGAGGCCAAGATCACAAATCTAATTTATGAAATCACTCAGCAACAACTGGAAAATATTTTCAATGACTTGGAAAATCGGATTAGATGATGAATCATGGAAGATGGTTTTAATCTTGAAGCTGAGGAATGTGAATTCTACTATATTAAAACATTGAAGATGATGTTTCTATATACATCAGAATGCCAAAGATCATTGTTAATCAAGGACTTTGTAAACAATATATAGTCATCTGGAAAATTAAGGAGAATATAGACATACATGAAATAGATGGGGAAGACCTCTAAGTTAGTGCCTCTTAAACTTTAGTGTCAGTTCAAATCCTGTGGGGAAATTTGTTAAAATGCAGATTCTGACATAATAGGTTTGGTGGTTAGAGTCTGGGATTCTGTATTTCTAAGACTTCCAGATTCCACTGCTGCTCTCTGGGGGCCACATGTTGAAAAACACGGCTACAACTCTCTTTTAAGCCTTTAAGATGGCGATTAATATCCTTCATCTCAAAAGACATCACACTCTACCTAAAGTTGCATCAGAATTGCAATAGCTTTCTAAGTGACTTTTCTGTCTTCGTTATCACTCCCTCTCATTCTTATCATTCACAGTTTGCAACGTAATTTACAAAGACACAAATCAGTTTAAGCCATTACTACACTTTGATAGTACCTCATTGCCTGTCATGTCTCCAACCCAAATGTTTACAGGGGCCAGGCACATAATGTGAATGAGGTGAAGCAAAGGTGGGAGGCGAGGTAGTAACGAGGAAGGGTAGGGACTGTGGAAAACTGGAGTGCACGTGTCTTTTCTAAAGGAAATAGCTATTATGGGGCTCCAGACAAGTGTTGCTATGTCTATATGGAAAGGTAAGCCTGATACTGCCAGATCTTCCAGTTTTTTTAGAAGGAGAAGAAAATCTGGATTGGATTTTGATAAAAACATTACCATCTTAAGATTGACAATAAATTTCCTTTGAAGATTTATTTATTTATTTATTTATTTTAGAGAGAAAATGAGTTTGGGGAGGGACAGAAGGAGAGAGAAACTTTAGCAGGCTCCTTGCTGAGCTCGGGGCCCATGTAAGCCTCAATCTCATGACCCTGAGATCATGACTTAAGCCAAAACAAAGAATTGACAGTTAACCAAATGTGCCACCCAGGGCTCTTGACAATAAATTAAAAAAAAAAAAAATCCTGATGCCCCAAACTACCTAGAATCTCTGGGCACGAGATCCAGACTTCAGTATTTTTTCAAAGCCCTCAGGAGATTCTAGTGTGCACCAACTACAAAGGGTCTGAAACTGAACCAAAGTTTGAAGCAATATTAGTGAGAGGATTAAAGATCCACCACAGTGGTATGAAAATTACTTTAAGCCGAAAACATCTGAACAATCAGCAGTCACAGAAATATTAGCTTAACTTAAACAGAGTATCCTGAAAATACAGCTACCATTGACCCTCTTCCCAGGGAATTTCCTAATTGAAAGAAGACTGACCCTTACCAGCAGGAAGTACAAATTCAGCTGCCATTAACTCTTCCCACTGGGAGGAAGACAGACTGCCCATTTCATTAACATCAAAAAGCCCAGTAGAACCTTCCATACTCATTCATTGAGGCCCTAAGCCCCCCAACCCTTTTTTGTTAAAATGATATATATAATCCTCAACTTCTGGCTATTCCACAAACTTTCCATTACGGGGACCTCCCATGCATGTATGAAAATAAACCTTGTCTTTACTCCTGTTAATCTGTTTGCTGTCTGTTAATTTGTAGACACCCAATCACTGGACACAAATTGGAAGAGGAAAAGTTTTCCTCCCGGCAGAAATACAAGTTCATTCTTGAAGGTAGTTCTTATATGAACATTATTTCTGATGTGTGGAAGAAGGAATGATTATGCCTCCTCAAAAGAGATAATAAGGAAGTGTTTGTTTACATATTATTTTAATACATCTTAAAACCAACTCAGCTCCAAAGTTTGAATTCAAGCCTTGGGGAATCAAATTAATACATGATAAAATCTAAGAGTATTTAAGATCTTAACCAAAGGGTGGTTTATAATCATCAATGTCTGCTATTTCTTTATCTGCTACATATGTAAAAGGAAAATATTTTTCATATTTAGTAAAGAAAGTATAATGATTTAGCATAATTTATTCATAGTCAAAGGTTATAATAAAAATTCTTTTAGTTCATTATTTCAACACATTCTGAATAAGGCATCACGTTTATTAAGAGATAGAAAGTTTTCCATATTTCTTATTTGAGTATATTCCAGTAAGAAATTATAGAGGCATTTTCAAAATTTATTTTAAAAAACTTACTGCTTAAAAAAAAAGCAATACAGGGGCGCCTGGGTGGCTCAGTTGGTTAAGCGACTGCCTTCGGCTCAGGTCATGATCCTGGAGTCCCTGGATCGAGTCCCGCATTGGGCTCCCTGCTCAGCGAGGAGTCTGCTTCTCCCTCTAACCCTCCCCCCGTCATGTACTCTCTCTCTCTCTCTCTCATTCTCGCTCTCTCAAATAAATAAATCTTTAAAAAAAAAAAAAAGCAATACAGAACAGCTCCCTGCTGCTCAGTTTAGCTGTGGGGAGCAGAAACACCTACTTTTCCTGTGTTACCAGATTATTTATATATGTTTCACTAATGAACCCCCAGCTTGAGGCCTTATTTATACATAAAATCTCCTTTGAAAGACACATTCCCTCTTCCTCTCCTCATACTCACACCCAAACAAAACTCCAAAATGTAATATGCTGGTTCCTGTTTAAGGCCATATAAAAGTGGAATCCGTCTGTAAGAACAAGGAACAAGATGGTTGAAAAAGCACGGATGAAAACTATTTGAACATTTACACCATCCATGGAAAAAGAAAAGCAATACCTTTGAGCCACTACTAAAATGTGGGTGTTTTCATAGATATTTTCTAATTGAATATTCATGCCTCCTCCTTATAGGTGAGGAAGGTAAAGCTCAGAGAGGTCAAATGTTCCCAAAGTTACATAGTGAGTGACAGCAAGGATTTGAACCTGTTTTTTTTCCATGTGGATGCAACCTATTATAACCTTATAATCTATTTTTAGAAAACTTGCTCATTTAGGTGGGAAAAGGCCGGTAAAGTAGCTAAGGAAACATCTAACCAGCAAAGGTTGGTAGGTCCTTCCAGAAATCTTAATACTGTAAATAGGACTGGCTTCATGGGCAAAGGACCCATGTCATCCGACAGGTTCCTGAGTTTAGAAGAGCCATGTGCTCGGTTTATGCTCTGCTGTTGCTGCACTGAAATTTCAATAATTTATTTAAAAAGTCCTCCATGTTTTCATTTTGCACTGGGTCCTACATATTATGTAGCTGGTCCTTCTTCTAAAGGCCAACAAAGTGAGAATGAAGTTTACAGATATGAGAACTTTCCTTGAGGAGCCAAAAGGTGGTTGGGTCTCAGTGTCAGGGGCATATGGCTTAGAATAGAATAATGGCAGATACCATGATAGGAGATAGGCCAGGGGAGAGCTTTCTGGGTATGATGCTTTCTTTCCCCACCTGCTTGGTCAGTGCTTGTCAATGTACCTTTTTCAGGACAGAAGATAGTAGCTCCAGTACAGTAGCATCCAGAGGGAGAAACAACATGAGGCTAGCACTGGAATCTACCAGGTAGATAGCTAATATATGAGAGGTAATCAAACTGACCTGTTTCTTAGTGAGCCCTACCCAACTCTCACTAAATGAATGAGATAGAACATACCCCAGGGAAATGGGTTTTGGAACAAAGCAGGATTGAGAGTCCAATCAGCGGGAGTTCCTCCAAGGGATCCCCTCCTTTATATGTGTCTGGGGTAGAGGGGAAAACCATGAATGGTTGAGCCCTAATTATAACGATAGAAGCTCTCTGCACTCAGGGGCACCCAGCTCCCCACCAGAAGGGGACAAGTTGGAGCACCAGCTCTCACACCTCCCATGCCTTACCAGTCAAAATTTCTGCTCTCCCAAGGGAATACTAGCTCAGGGGAAAGTAACATCTGATGAGCATAAGCAACACACTGAAATACGTGAATCAGAGGAAGTAGAATTAAGGCACTGGATAGATCAAACAGTTAATGTGTGAATAAAGTATACCTTAAGATATAAGGAAGAACATTAGATAAAATGAAGCTTTATTTCATTTTATCATATCAGTTCATAAAATGAACCCGGTAAAAACAATTATGAAGCAGAATCAGTATGAGGCACAAGGCATGAAAAATCGCCGAAGTGAAGAAACTTGGCGAGAGGGCGAATAACAGAAGTGTGGTAGGGGAGTCAGTGAGCTAGAAGGTCAGGCATTTCAGAAGGGATAAAGAAATAGGAGCCAGTTAAAATTATGAAGGATAGAAATAGAACATTAATATCTATTTAACAGAACTTGCCAAAGTCCTATTAGAACTGAGTTTAGATGTCAAAAAATAATTTCTCCAGACTGTGAGATTTTCCTCAGGGCTATGAGAATCCATGATTAGTCCACAGTTACAGGGAATATAACTCCAAATATGACTAAATTATGTAAGTAAACCATTTTTGTTTGTTTTAAAGAAGGCAACAATCCTGTGCAATTCAGGTCATCTCTTGTGCTTAGCATTTAGGGATTTTGATAGAATTTTCACTGATAAAACCTGGGTTTGACACCCACAGAATAAACTGCTGTTGAACCTAAACAGGTAAACCAAATGCTGAAAAATTTTAAAGAACTTTAAAAAATCATCAGTCATAGCAATCTTCTGTGATTGCGTCTTTTATCAATCTGGCAAATATTCAGACCAAACACATAAAATACCTATGTATACTGCAGTGTTCAGAGAGAAGCGATAAACAAAAAAACAAAAGCATCCTGGTTCTTCTGTGATTTCAGTCCAGATAAATGCAGTCTACTGCTTTCCCTGCCTGCCTGTCCCTCCATCCCCTGCCACCAATCCCATCCTCCCAAACATGTAAATATTTATTTGTCTTCCTTATTTTCAACCCTCATCTGGTAGTGCTGGCCCATTGTTTTCCAGAGCTTCAAGGCTTGGCTTTACCTACAACTATCAATCATTCAAGATAGTAATAATAGAAAGTTCTCTTAAGTCTTGATACTGATTAAGGTTTTCACTGTTCCTATTCAATCTAATACAAATGGACTTTTGTTTCCTTAGAGATCAAAATGGAGCACTTGTAAAGAACTTTGGTAAGTATTTATAGACCCCACAGATACAAAGGAGTCAATTGCCAAATAAGAAGACACAGTGGGGGCGCCTGGGTGGCTCAGTTGGTTAAGCGACTGCCTTCGGCTCAGGTCATGATCCTGGAGTCCCGGGATGGAGTCCCGCATCGGGCTCCCTGCTCAGCAGGGAGTCTGCTTCTCCCTCTGACCCTCACCCCTCTCATGCTCTCTCTCTCATTCTTTCTCTCAAATAAATAAATAAAATCTTTAAAAAAAAAAAAAGAAGAAGAAGACACAGTGGGAGAGGAGCATCTCTACACAGCCCCTCTGCTCATCTTGCTTTCAGTACTTCATGATTGCATTCTGCACATTCCACATATCTACAAGTGGTTGACTGGCTCGTAGCCATTTCTTTTTTGCAAAATGAAAAAATGTGAGGCAAGTTAAGGAAATAGGGAAATGTAAATGGGAACAGCAAGCAAACTATACCTGGAAATCATAAAAGTAATAGCATAATGAGATCTTAGTGTAGAACAAGAATTTTTTTTAGAAAGCTAGCAGAATATAGGCTTAAGAGCTTTGGGCCTTGGAGTTAGATAAGACCTGAATCAAATTCCAACTCTGCCCCGGACAAGATACATTACATTGGTCAAGTTACTTTGCATCTCCAAGCCTCTGTGTTTTGTTTGTTTTGATCTGTAAAATAATACGTACCCCTTAGAGGTTTTGTGATAATTTAGATAAGGATCTCTTATACTTAATATAGTGTTTGATAGATAGTAACTACTCAAAAGAAGATAGTTATTATTATTGTAGAGGCTGTTTTGTTCCTTATTATTCTAGAAGCCCAGTCAGTAGGTAGTTGTACTAGCTAATAACTATCAGAATCTTTTCTTTGTAAACAGTGAATTATTCAGAGGGTTTAGTACTTCTCTACATTACCTACAGAAGCATATTCAAAAGAAGACCATGCATTTTAAAATTATTTTTAATGTGTCTCTTACCTTTGCTTTTATTATCAATTCCTCATGCTTACAGATTAGCTCCTCATTGTCTGAAAGTGATGAACCTAGACTTTGTTCCTGTAAATCTCTTATGGTTTTCTGAAACCAACAAGTAACCTAGGTAAGAAGCACAAAGAGAGACGAAATTTCAAATGATTAGAATAAGTAAATAGAAATTAAAAATATTTCCTTAACCTTTTCAAAACTTAAGCTATTTCAGTTTCTTTCTACATAAGCTCATCTCACATATTAAATTAATATGATCAGGTTTGTTTTTTCTTCATTTCAATCTCTACGTAAGAGAAAAAAATAAAGTAATCCCCCAAAAGCATGAAAATGATACATCAGTTCAGTAGATTACATGGAATGAAGGAAATAATTCAAAATCTCCTAATAACAAAGAACCAGAATAGATTCCCACAATCTATAACTCATGCATTCTTTTAGAATATAAATCTTCCCTGAATAAGAATATGAATGTAAGTATGGAGTTACATAAACCTACATGAAGATATTAGCATATGTAGAATTATATTTCTACTATAAAATGACAATGCAAAAATATTTCAGCAATGCAATTGCTGAAAATCTGTATTCAGAAAATAAATGGAGAAATTTTTAATATTCTACTGATATTATAAACAGCTAAGGGCATGACTCACATTCATTTAGACTTGATTTACAATACATGATTTACACAGTGTTGAAACAACAAATAGCAAAGGACTTGAAAGAAGCTGTACATTTTTAAATGGTGACATAAGTAGACATGGAACCAATGACATGGAGCCCCTGGATACAGATTCCTTATTCCAGTTAAAGCAAAGAGAGTTTTACTCTCAAGTCCTACAGTGTTATCTCCATGATCACATCACAGCTACTGATCCTTAAGAGGCCACAACATGCTAGACAGTTTGCTACTTGCTTTTTGGGCATCATCTCTATTTCTTTCAACAACTCTCTAACAAAAGTGTGATATCTTCATTGTAGAGATGAGGAGAGGTGAAGCAGCTTATCCAGGGCCATACAGTAAGTGGCAGAGCCAGGTTTGTCTCCAAACCTACATTATTCTTTTCGCCGTGCCGTGCTGCCATCTTAGGTAACCTAAGTCTTACAGCCCTGGCCATCAGGGGTACTACTTCAAGCCTGAAGAATGAATCCTGACATCCCATTCAAAATGGTGGGCAACGCCCAAACGTTGTACTATGCTTTTTTTTCCAGCCTAGGTTGTCTTGCCTACAACAACCTCAGGATTTCTCTGAACTCCTATAACATAGAGAAATGTGTGAAGCAGATAGTCAAAGAGAAAGCTAGATTAGTCCTGAAGCTCCACATAATAAATGCACACCTCCCTTCTCCCCCCCACACACAAGTTAGGAGTTACCTAGAATAGGACATTCCATTACCATTACAGGGCTGATATCACAAAACTGATTATGAGATCAAATGGTCTATACCAACACTTAGCATTTTTCAGCATGGAATAAGCAGTACATTTGGGGTAAGAGAGTTTCTCCAGCTTTCTGCTAACTGGAAATCTTTGTTAACCAGCATTTTTGGCTACCATCAGCGCAATTTAAAATTAATGGTAACCCTGTAGCAGTTTACATATGAAGTACACCTCATTTTTTTTTTCAGAATATTTGGTAACCTGTGCACAATATACACATTAGCCAATCTCCATATCTAAAGCATTGTATATGTATTTACAATTATTTGAAGATAATCTATCTTTCTGTTATCCCAATTAGAACTATGTGATATGTACAATATGCATATTAGAACCCACAGAGAGTATCTTATCAAGAGCTATAAAATTTATTCACTAATTAATTTTTATAAAAATAGTTTCTCACAAAAGATGCAGTGAACCCATATAAAACCACAACTAGAGGAATGATTTAAAGGTTTCATCAAAGAAACATGGATCATGAATATAACTAAGTTTAAGAGAGCATTGACTAAGTACTGGGAGTGAGTTTTATTTTTTCTTAGCTAACATGGGAGGAACTCAGAAATCTCAAGAATGTTTAATAGGGAAAGTTAATATAGAATCTGAGTGAATAAAAACTGGGTACAAACAGGTGTTTGCTAATCTCTAAACCCTGAACCCTCAGATAATCCTATTCAGTTTTGTGAGTCAAAGACTTGTCATCTACCACATGCCAGCAGTGATGAAAGCCGGAGAGGAGTGAGTTGTTTCGATTTTTAAAAGTTATCTACTGACCTCATCCTCTAGATTTGGCAAATACTATTCAACCCCCAAAGGATACTATTCCTGTATGGCAATACTATTCCCTATTAAGAGAATGTAGTTAAAGATCTATGTTGGTGTTCTGTGTATTCTGATCACATACCTTCCTGACAAAGCATGCTGACTCTTTAGATCTACACAATTTTACTACCAAATGCACCCTGGGAGGAAACATAAAAACAAGCTGGCATAAAACTCAGAAGTCAGTAGTTCATTGTCAGGGTGTTACATCTCATCATGAGGTATCATATACATGAGCAGCCTTTTAGATCAGATTACTGTGTGGTTCTGTAGCATACACACAGAATAGGCTCTCAGAGTCCTTCTGATGTAAAAGCACGACACCCTAAGTTACTGAGAGTATGTCAACCATAATATCCCGCCACCCAATAAATCAGTCATTGCATCCCACAAGTAGCTACTGCGGACAGCTGCACAGATATTCCAAGAGCACTTTTTATAAGTATTTAAATTATATCAGCTGCTGTCCAAAAGCCTGAGTGATAAAGTACAGTAAATGATGCATCAGGACATTCTGTAGAACATGGTCCTTGCAAAAGGATGAAAACATGAGCCAAGGATTCAGGGGATGCAGAAAAGAAGAAGAAAAAAACATTCAGAGTATGCCCTGGAAATCAATTCTGGGCAGTGATGGATTAAGGAGGTAATTAGAACATTTTCCCTTTCTCTTCTCAGTTCCTACCTTTCAGCTTGAACTAAGCAATGTGTTCATGATCATCCCAGCAGTTTGACATGACATTCTAGATACTCAGTGCCCAGTGGAGGTAGAACTAAGATAGAGAAGGAATGGAGATCTTTTTTTGTGGGGAGAAGGGGAACACCTATCAGAGAGTAAAGGGAGATAGAAATAAAAAGGAAGTCAACAAAGATTCAAAGCAGGAGCAAAACCAAGAGCTGCCTTGGAAATGAAAGCTGCCAGGAAAACTCACTCAAATGCTGTATGTAGACCTGCACTGTCCTGTATGGTAGCCGCTAACCACACATGGCTATTGAGTACTTGGATTGGGCCAAGTCTAAATCGAGATGTGCTCTAAGTATAAAATACACAGCAAATTTCACAGACTTTGTATAAAAAATAATACAAATGCCTTGTTAAGAATATTAGTATTGATTAAGTATTGAAGTACTATTTTAGGTATGTTAGGTTAAATAAAATGTATTATTGCTTTTCACTTTTTATGTGACTTTTTACCTTTTTTTAAAAAGATTTTTATTTATTTATTTATTTGAGAAAGAGAGAGTGAGTGAACAGGCATGAGCAGCGGGGAGAGGCAGAGGGAGAAGCAGACTCCCCACTGAGCAAGGAGCCCGACACAGGGCTTGATCTCAGGACCCTGAGATCATGACCTGAGCCAAAGGCAGATGCTTAACTGACTGAGCCACCCAGGTGCCCCAACTTTTTACTTTTTTAATGTGGCTACTAGAAAATTTGAAATCATATATATGACTTGAATTATATATCTTTATTGAACAGTTCTGCCACTCAAGGATATTCAGACTATCCATATTGGTTAAATATAGATCTAAGGACTGAGTTTTAATTAAGGGCAATTTAAAATAACAGAGTCAAGAGAATGGTGAAATGAGATCTCAATTGGTAAGCATTTATGGACCACTGAGGGGAGGATAAGGAAGTAGAACTAATGATACTTCCAAAGAAGTTTATTGGTTCAGTAAAGGAGAAATCTGGAACAGCTTTAAGGAAGCAGAGGCAGCAACGCAGCCTCCCCCACACTTTTTTCTTTATTTATTAGATGAGACTTAAGCATTTTTTGCAGGCACAGTGACTGAAGATACATGAAGGAGAGTGGATGCAGGAACATATCAGGAAGAGGAGAAAGGTTAGAAGAGAGCACTAACTAGGCAAGGAAGGGCTAGTTTTTGCTTATTGGACAACCATCCCCTCCTCAACACCCTGCTGAGAAATAAGAATGAAGAAAGTAAGAGAAATTAACCCCTCTCCTTTGGCAGAAAGGGGTCAGGGACTACTCTAGGCAGGTTACAACTTACCTCATGCAATCTTTACATCCCTCCTCTGTGGAGAGATTTTCTTTTTCAGCAGATGAGGAAACACACCCAGCATGTGTGTTATGAGTTTAGCAACTTGCTTAAGGTCACATAACCAATAAGAGGAAAGCCCCACAGACAGAAATGTCATGGTCAGAATTCACGCTTTCTTGTTTAATGTTTTCCTTCTCCTCACCTCCATATGCAGAACCAGAGGATTCCAGAGGAGAGAAATAGTTATCAGGCTATTTTACGAACATTCTTAAGATAAAAACCAAAACGCAATACCACAGTTAGAGTTTAACACGGAAATAGGGTCTGTGTACTACCACGGGGGTTCAGTGGAAATACTGCCTTTGAGAGCACAGACGTGGGTCAGGCCCTTTAGGAGCATTGCCTGAGAGGAAGAGGCCAGCTATGGGCAGAGGTGACAGTAAGCACAAATCGTGAATTCCAAAGACAGGACTAATACATGGGAGTGCCAGTGATAGAAAACGCACTCTGACAGTCAAGAAGAGAAAACTCAGGTGGCAAGAAGGTGAACTTCTGCTGCAGCCCAGAGCGATGCATGAGACTGCCAAAAACTACCAGTCTCTTTTTGTGCAATTTGTTCAACAATCTGCGATCAGATCTTATTTTTTGAACTTTGTTTCAAGGTATGCAGGAGGAGGCGAGCCAGCAATAAGTACTTCAAACCACCTTAACAGCAATGCTTAAGGGAGAATGAAAATCTTTTCAAATTACTTTCATTTTCTTTTCCATGTGCAGAACAATTCTTGACAAATAACCAGTTACTACTAGAGACGAAAACTGATAAGGGGGAGGAAAAAGCATT